GTGGGATGCTCACGCGAGCAGGCAATTAAAACAACATCTTCATTATTAGGTGTATATACCGAACTCGATGGTACAACTCTTACGACGAGGAACGACCGAGGTAAAAGTCGGTAGTCCATAAACGGAATAACTCGGCAAAGCCGTGCTACTGCCTCGTTATCGTCGCGTTATCGCGATCGCTGACCAGGATGGGATTACTTAACGCCATTTCCATTCTGCCAGAAGAACAAATATGTTTTCATAATTGGACGAACATTGGCCAAACCGGCTGTACCATGCCAGAAAAGAAACGATCGCCATTTCCGAGAGGGAACGCGCTACGACGCTAATTGTTTAGTTAAACGTTCGCGGATCCCTCGCGCCGGATTTATTTATCGAAATGCGCTAGATAATTAAAGGAGCATGACTAAAGATATGATTATTCAAGCAGATAGTGCATTACAATACGTAAAATGAATTCCACGACAGATTGCATTTCTACCTTAAGATAAATGTCATGCTTCTTAAACTGCCCTCGTATATTTATAAGACACATTTTACTACAATGAAAACTATAATTATCTTTGAATCCTTGTCTTTGAATTTTGAAGTCTCGCAAGAATAAATATTAAATATTAAATATTAAATATGTAATAAATATTAAATATTATTTCTAAACTCTCTTGATTTCTCTACTCAGTTGAATTCCTTTTTCCAAATATTAAAAATACGAACATGACGCAAAAATCTCCTCACATCTACTTAATATTTTTCGGAGAAAGATTCTGGGAGCTTTACGCCGTATATCTCTCCGTAACGATCGCGTCATCTAATAAAATCTCGGGGAATATAATAACGAAAACTGCGAGGTGGCCAAGCCAACCAGACATAGGCTCAAAAGAGACGTAGAAAGGGATGAATATGCCGAATGCGCGGAAAAGGGACGTGGAAGTTAACGACGGCGCGCTCCGCGACCGCGTATATTTTATTATTTAATTTCAGCCGGGGGCAAGGCGTTATGAGACATGAAAAAAGTCTTGGGCGATATTGTAGGTGGATTTCCAGGCGGGAACCCGCCATCCCCTTCCCTCCTCGCCCCTCTCCGTCCAATGTCGCGCGTCCTCCCATCGGGCCCCGCGCTGGCGAACCCCCCTCCCCCTGCCGCCCCTCCCGCTTTGCGCCCCCGCACTGTCGAGCGACCGCCGCGCGCGGTGACATTATTATTCGTTATGAACGGGGTTTACGAGGCCGCAAATCATAGCCATGTTCATATTTCGAACGGCCGCTCTCGTCGTTATTCAGTTTAATGGCGGTGGTATTTGAATTCCCGATCCCGTCCTCTGCTTCTCCCCCTTCCCCTTTGCCGCAGCCACCGCCGACGTCGCCCCCGCGTCTTCTCCGTCCCCTCCCCCCCCTCCTCGCTCGGCGTCTTTCGCCACCCGCCGCCGCCGTCACGTAACGACAATGTTAACTTTATATTGTGCTTTTGACGAGAGGCTCCTAAATATTCTTAATTTCTCCCCGCGCGAATTATTTTATTTAATAAATATGTATAAATAATAGTAAAATGTGTTATTTTTCTTCCAAAACTAAGAGCAAAACTATGAAAAAATTGATACAACTTTGATAAAAAAAATTTTTATTAAATGTGAAAATATCGAAACTAATGCCTTTTTTCTTTCTTATTGAATAAAAACAACATATTCGTAAATTAATAAAAAAACATTTGCATGTCGCGTCCCGGTTTCGGAATCTCGAGGAATCAAATTACAACGCGCTTTTCGAAAGAGAGCCGCAAGGGTTTTCTGGAAAAACAAGCAAGCGCAAAGGTGCCGACGATGGCCGTTAAGTAGTTTTTCTTTCGGCTAGGACCCTCTCGAAATGTTTAGGTACTGTCGCGGAGGATTTTTGCACCTGGTGTCAAGAAAGGATTGAAGCGACACGATGTTTCCTGTTGTCGCTCGGTTCGAATCGATCTAAAACAATCCGGGCTTAACCACCATCGTGACATTTAAGCCGTACAGAGCAACGTGAAGCCACGGATCTGTGGACTTAATTGTCTGCGGAGAGAGAATCAGAATCTATAGATTCTGTAGCTCAAGAAAGTTTCCTCGACTCAAGCATTCAAATTGTGCTAATGTTTTAATTGAGCACGATGAAAATGAAAATTTAACTCAATAAAAAAAGGAAAATAAATAAAAAATAGATATGTATCTGCAAAATGCTTTCTTCTCATATAACATAAATATCGTGTTAAATAGTCTCGTTAAGATTACTCGATAAAATAACGATTATTTGAAACGCCGTAGATCTCGCTCCCGTTTTCGCGCAATCATTAAGGAACCCCAAAGATTCAACGTCACAACACAAGCGACGAGCAATGTTCCGCAGTAAATTCGGAACGTGCGCGTGTCGCCGTGCGAAAATTAAAGACCATAAATCATGCGTGCGTTTCGCATCGGCGGCCCATGAATATTTATGAAAATCATTGCGTCGTTTACAGGCCTATTAATCCGGGGGTTAAAATATTCCAGTCTTCGGTGGTGTTTTATCGGTCGCTGCTTTGCGCGGCAGCTCCGTGCCATCGGGCGGCACGGAGATGAGAGGAAAAGGAAGAGGGCGAGGGGGAGGAGGGCAAGGGGGAAGAAGGACGCCGTTATTAGTCCTATCGATCATCCGACGCGAGAACCGACACCCTTTTTGGACCCTTTACATGCCGCGCGTAGCTCAGCCGATCGCATTTTCTTTCTTGTTTGCGATTGCTCTCGCGATTCATTGTCAATCATTCGTCGTAGGATCAATAATCATCGATACACAATGTTAATTGGTACACGTCAAGCCCATTGTTTTTCTACGCTAACAAACTAATGTTATGGAAAAATCAAATATTTTTTGTTAATTTTTAACTAATACTTTTAATCAATAATTGTTGTGTTTTCTCTTCGGTTTACAATACATTTCTACGTCAAAAGATAATTATTTAATAATTTAGCTAAACATTTAATTATTTAATAATTTAAGTGATATAAAGATATATATAATTTTTATCTAATTGCATTTTATATTCAATTTCAATTTCTCGAAATACGCATGAAATATTTGAATTAAAAAAATTCGTAAATATATATATATTTCAATATAAAAACTTTACGAGTTTTTTTTTATTCAAATATTTCATGCATATTTCGCGAAATTGAATATAAAATGCAATTAAATAAAAATGAAATCATTTAAAATAAAACATCGCAAATTCTTTCAAGCGTGAATTTATAAATAATATTCTGCGGATAGGTAAGATCTTGTTTAATTTCTTTGTTGTTATAATAGAGCGTATCATGAAAGACCGGAGATTTATGGTCATCGATCAACCGGGAAATCACCAATATTTTGGCAACGCGAGGGAAGCTGGGACCACCCATTCCTCGATTTCGAGATCGATCGATCTTTCTTGCTCAAAACACGCAAAGCGCCAGACAGCGTTGGACGACGGTCATAAACCGAGCGACTGTGATACCTTAATGGCTTCCGGGAAAATCTATCGAGAGCGATACAGGACGAATTTCGATGTGCTACGGCGCGTTTTAGCGTAATTCGCCGATTCCTGTGCAAACGCATATTCTGATATTCCGATCGGTTGGCGGCTTGACGCGGTCGAGATCGGACTATGGTCATCCTACCGGGATACACGCCCGTACGGGACTTATCCCCGGGACACAGCATGGATTTCCCTGCGACTGAGCGCTTTTATCCGGCCGCAAGCTCGCGTGTATCGGGAAGGGAAGGGAAGGTAAGCGCGGTGCGTCATGTAAATCCGCGAATACGTACGTGGACGGGTGTACTTGCGTCAAACAATGGCTTTTGTTTCGCGCGAAATGTACGCTGCGAGATAGAGGCTGCGGTTACCGATATATCGAGAATCTTAGATTTTTCATGGTAACGTGCAATGTGGGCTTGAGGGTTACCCTTTTTTTATTTTCGGATTGGTATATATTCTTTAGAATCGCTGAATAAAATTTGTATTAACTTTCAAAAATCAGCATTGCATTCAGAAAGATAATACTGAATATATGTGTATAAAATATCAATAATAAATCAATAATATATAAATAATATTATATACACGCATATAAATAATATTGAATATATATAAATATTTCAATATAAAAAAACTTTAATTTTTGTAATCCAAATATTTCCCGCGTATTTCAAAGCATAGAAATAAAAATTGAATATATAGAATTAAATTGTATATATAGAATTAAATTCGCCTTGTTCTTTATGTCATCCATTGTATCAATGATTTTATGCATGCATTACTGTTATGGCAAACAAATTTTTTTTTATTTATATAAGCATTATTAAATATATTATTATTCTATACACATATTATAATGCTTTACACTTTAATAATAATAAGAAATAATAATAAGAAAATATTCTCTCATCGTGGTTCTATATCGTTCTGTTCATATTATTCTCTATTTTATCAAATTAATAAAGCAGTACTTAATAATATTTAAACATTGAAAAAATTAATTTAAAAAGTTATTCTAATGCATTTTATGTTTTATATGCATTAACATGTTTCACATTTTAATATTTAATAAAGATATTTCTGTAATTTAATTTTTAATAATATTTAAAGAAAACCATGAAGACTCAAAAACAGCGAATAATTTTTTCGCGAACGGATTTAATTCCTACGCTTTGAAATACATAATATAACTTGAAAAAAATCAGACAACTTTATTAATTATTTGGATTATTAATTATTAATATATTAAACATTAGTCTAAATACTTTCACAAATTATCTTCAAAAATAATTTAATTTATATAGTTATATTTAAGTAAATAATTCAATTATATTAATCCGCAAAAAAATTAATCCAATAAAATATCTTTTTAATTATGACATCACGACACAACGATAAGAATATTTATATATATACACATATACATATATACACAAAGTATATAATAATATGTGTAGACTTTAATAAAAGAAATAATCGTACTCACCCGTATTGCTCCTTTGCTGTTTCTATCCTTGTCTTCTGCTTATCTCCTTGTAATGAAACTTGATACGTCCTTCCTGCTGTGTTGCATTCTACGTTTTATTCTTTTCACACACTTTTTCCTATCATTTTCCAAACACATAAGTACGAATTATCCAAGTAATTCGTACATTACACTCTCACTAATTTGCACTTATCCGACACTCGCGATCGAAAATAAAAATACGTAACGCGAAATATAACGAATATATTCAATATTAATATATTTAACGCTCCCGATACTCTCGACACTCCCGATACTTCCGACACTCCCGATACTTCCGACACTCCCGATACTTTCGACACTCCCGATACTTCCTTTTCAATAATTTCTAGCATTTTTACCCTTTTATGCTTCCGCCATTTTCACGTTGTTGATATTGCCGGCATTTTTACACTTCCGAGACTCGTTGAAACAATGTAAAGGCCAACGCGACGCTAATAATAACACGATATATATGTGCACCGTGATTAACGGAATATCATGAATCTATTATACGGCCTCGCACGATTAATACGTTGCCGCGATCGTTCCATGATCTTATTACTACGTCACACAAGTTCGTAATCACGACGCCATTACTCCATATTAGTTCACGGTACAAAGCCCAGATATGTTTATCGAAGGACGAGGCGAGTCACGATTAAACGCACTTGTCAGACACGCACCGATGATCACATGTCACTTGCTTCGATACTTCCGATACTCGTTCTGCGCGAAATTCGCGGTCGACGAGCGAAAAGACGCGAAAAATACGGAGCGATCTGGATCCTCCGTCGAACGATTATCGCGCACGAACAAGAAGAACGAATATAGCTGCGAGATCAAGTGAAGTTGCTACATTCGCGAAATCACGTGACTGCTTTCTTTCGCGCACCTAGGTACTATAACACATTCTTCGGCACAACTGTCGTGCTTTGCATCCCCTCTACCCTGTTCACGCGTCGATGACGTAATTATAACATTTACGCAGACTCACACACCGAGAGACACACCGACCGACCTTGACCTCGGTAACTGAAGCGGTGCGCGGCGTCAAATATACTAGAGTGATTGTTTTCTTTTTTCTTGACAGCGATGTGGCGCGACCGCGATCCGATATCGTGATATAAACAAACGGCTTAGTTCGATTGTAGCCATCGTCCGTGTAACACCTTATCGCTGCTCGACAAGTCGGTCGTGACGTCGTCACTTCAATAGACGCGACGCGAAAATCGACGTTGAAAGACGAGGAGCAATCGATTATGACGCACTAACGATACGTACGAACAGTCTTACGTCACTCTTCGGCACGAACTGTCACACGCGACGCGCGAGAGACACTGAGCGACTCCTACTTGATCTCAGTGAAATTTGCGACTGAAAGTAGCCACGAAATTGAACGCAGAGTAGCCACAACACTTTTTATACTAGAGTAATTAGGTTTGTTCTTTTTACGTACGAGAGAAAGAAAGAGAAAACGAGAAATATAAAGGAACGAACCTCGAAATTGCGAGCATTAGAAATAGTGACGCGTGAAATATGATAAGTAAGTGTCTCTAATCTGCATCTTTTTCTATTGTATATATTAGTATTGTATATATACGATCAATATTTATTGCGTCGAGTTGTGCGTTCGATCTCACAATTCTATTATTATCGTCTTGTCGAGCAGAGGACGAGTCTCGCGTGCGAATGAATGTATCGGAATGTGCCGGGAACAATAACCGTATATAATCGTTCGCGTTTTTTAACCGTCGAAAATTAATTACGCTTATAAATGTGCGTGTATTTTTGATCGATTCGTGTTCGTGTTCTCAGTGAGCCAGGGACGAAGAACGATAAATACATGACATAAATTGGTAAGTAAATTCACTTATCACGCATTATTTATATTTCGATATTATTGTTTATTTATATTTCGATATTATTGTTTAATAATCTCGATTTTATCTATATCTTATTATACATTATATATATTCTTTCATCAATTAATTAAATAAATCAATTTGTCTTTGATCGCGTGTAAAAAGAAATATATAAGATTTAGATAAAAATGTATTTCTTTAATCAAAGGATATATTTTTTCTCGCGCGAGGTATACATATAATAATATATCATTTTTGTTATACGACAATTATGCTCTATGAGACGTAGTGATTGATGTATTATAAAAAACTTTGGAAAATCTAGATATTTTTTTATTCAATGGTCGATCGGTGAATTGTCATGCGATTAGGCTCACTAAATTTTTATGCGCACTAGCGTGCACTTGAGTCGCACTTTTTTTTATATAGATGGCAATAGCAACCGCGTCGACAGAATGATGATGCTCTTTTGAATTATGATCGCAGACATATTTAATTTCGCCAACGCTTTCAAGATTACGGTATATTTTTCGCGTTTTTTCTCATTAATAACAAATTTCATATGCGAACGAGTATCGAAAAGGTTGAAAAGAGTGATGTGCAATTATCAGAATGTATCATAAGTGCGCATAACTTTGTATCGAATGAAATTTTCGACATATGTATCGATCTTTATAACGTCGTGTCGCATCTTGTTAATCTTTACTTAAAAGTTTAAATAATAATAATACAATATCGTATCGCGTATTGACGTTTGTTTAAATAATAATGTCGCGAGGATTGATTTAATGTCGAGTAGCAAATAAGATTGTCGGATGATTACTGCGACATATTAATTACGCTATTTATTTGCGATATTTACGGTTAGTATAAATATTTCCTGTTTATTACAGCGCGTCACATCATTTTCGGAATTTTTCGTTAACAAATTTCGTATTGAAAAATACTGATCTAAATATTTTTATTTTTTTTTCGCAGATATGGACTTGTGATGGAATTTCGCAGGATGGACTCTCACAACTATGGGCTCCTTATGGAATTTCATGGGATAGATGTGGATCAGACTTTTTCATCAGCATCATGGTGAGTTTTACTTGCTCTTATACATTTGTATTCTTTTAAATAGAATCAGTGAATTATCATTGAAAAACAATAAATCACTGATGTGATTTTAGTTGTAAATATAATACTGCTAATTAGTAGAATCTCACTACAAAAATCAATTAATGAATTAGTTGTTTTAATCAGTGATGTTTAGAATATATCATATTAAATATATTAAATATATTAAATATATTAAAATTTTATTATATGCTTATATGTGAGATAAATATATAGCAAGATATATATATTGTTAAGAAGATATCTAAAGGTAAATTTTTAGTCAGAAATTTTGTTCATTTGCAAATGTATCTTAAGGAGAAAAAAATATGTATATTATTCTAAATTAAATTATTCTAAATTATATTATATTGAATTTATATATATAAATATTAATTGTACGTGTTTCATCCTAGATATGTATGTAGATGTTCTCTCAAAAAGTAGCAATTCAAAATAAATAAAAATAACTTTAAAAGTATATCTTGCAAATATGATTACATGATAATAAACATGGAGACTCGAAAATTGTATTTTTGCTGAAGATAAAATACTCATTGTGATTTTTAATAAAATCTCTTGTCATTATTTTTATTAGTAACATTTTCACTGATTCAGTTTAAAAGAGTATACATACATTTATCGATTTTAAGCTTAAACAATTATAAGCCACGCTCCAAATGCATATTTTTTTAATTAACTTAAAATCATCAATGAATTTGCGGATTAAATAAAAAAAATGATAGTTTTGGTTAATTCTATACGGAAAAACATTATCAGATTCGATGTTGGCAATATACAATAGATAGGAATAGGAAAAAATACAATAAATGAAAAGAAGAAACAACATTCTACAGACATTTCCCCTTGCAATAGACTGTTTCTTTCACGAGGATCCGACGAATGTATTTCAAAGTAGGTCCCGCGGGAATATCTCGTCTTTGTGCCGATTTCGAGTATTGCTGCGAAAGACGGAACGTGATCGAGCGCGCGCGAACGCTTAAGAAGGAAGAAAAATCGTTTTATAAATTCCATTCGTTTACCTTTGCATTTCCCTTCTGTCCTACGCTTCCCCTTTCCCCTCAACATCTTCGTCCGAAATGGCCTTTTTCTCGACGAGCGCGAGGACTCGCGCCAATCCAGCCTATTCGCTCGATCCGACGCCACATTTCGCTTTTCGTTATCGCGTCCAATTCCAGCGGAAGATATCCGACCGGCGATAAGAGAGCACGGAATTTAAATAAAACGAATCAATATTCAAATCCGCTGTTCTCTTTCTCGCTAGCTGGTTCCCTAAGCGGTACCCCTTCTCCCTCGCCTTTTTTCTTCCTTATTTATTTTGTTCATCTCTATTTCCTGCCGCACTTCTCCGACTTCGTCGGCCACCTTCGTCTGCTCGGTCTCTTTCTCGTTTGCTCTGATTCCTTATTCATTGGTACAATATCGAAGCGTCTCATTTATTCGCGTCTCTTTGTCGAATCGGGCGATCTCCTTTCCAAACCTTTTCAACCTCTGTACTGATTGGGTTCAAACAGCCCGAATGATTGGTTTTATACTCGGTGAACTGTATTCGTTTCGCTAAAGTCAGAAAAAAATATCAGATAGTCTCTTTTAAAAATAATGGAAAGAATCAAGTATTTAGATAAAATTATCGTTGATAATTTCATCGCAATTATCGTTGATAATTATTACCATTGATAAAACATTGTTGAAATTATCGTTGATTTAGATTTTTTTACGTTTGCGAAAACTGAATTTTTATGGGAATCAATTTAAAAGAAATCTAATATTTGTTTCTGTTTCATCATTGAAATATTTAGTTTTGTAAAAAATTATTATATAAATAATATAAATTATAAATTGAGAATTATAAAAGCTGAAATTGTGTGTGAATTTATGGAAATGTGAATACTCCTTATTTTACTTATTGGAGTTTAATATGAAAAGAGAATAAAAATGTTTTAAATAAACGAATAATTTCGAAATTGTTGCCAAGAGAGAATCTTTTATTAGAATTACACGGTCAATAAGTTTCTATAACATCAAGTATAAATTTTAGCATCATATTCTCTATATCTATAAGAGTTGCGAAAGTTTAAATCTTTCTAGTTTTTATAAAGTGCGGAGAAAATATTCTCGAAAATATTCAAATAAGAATTCGACAAAGAGATATTATATAATTCTTGCTAAAATTTTGGATGAGCTTTAAGATTTATTTCTCACCATTCAGCCTATCTCTACATCTTTCA